ACACACACACACACACACACACACACACACACACACACACACTGGGACGTTTCAAAGTAATGATCATAAACACCAATTGTATTGTACAAATACTACCAATTTTCTTCATGCTTATGTACTTTCTGTCGCCCCTCGTAGAAGCTTCTCTGCAACGCAAGCACTAATCTCATGTCGTGCTTGGCGCTATCTCTAGTAGGCCCTACTATAGCTCTAGTACTATAGCCCGCGTACATTGACTGCCGCAGGCCTGCGGCAGTCAATGTATGCGGCCTATAGTACTAGAGCTAGCCCTACTATAGCTGATAGGGTCTATGTCCCCCAGGGTACTGCCGGAACGTACCCTGGAACGTACCCTAGCTGGTACTAAATACTACTATCTAATATGCCGGACCGTACCTCGCCTACTCCACTAACGAGTCTATAGGGAGTTGCCTACGCCTACTCCCTAGCTAACCCTAACCCTAATCCTAACCCTAACCCTAACTCTAACCCTAACCCTAACCCTAACCCTAACCCTAATCCTAACCCTAACCCTAACTCTAACCCTAACCCTAACCCTAACCCTAACCATATCAGCTAGAGGTTCCGGTATACCGGACCGTACCCAGGGTACGTTCCGGCAGTACCCTGGGGGACATAGACCCTATGAGCCCTACTATAGCCCGCGTGCAGTTGCCGCAGGACAATTGCCTGCGGCAACTGTACGCGGGCTATAGTACTAGAGCTAGCATGGCGCTGCCACTGTGACTGCACAAACTCACCGAAAGAGCAGCCATCAAGCCTCAAGGCAACTTGTTCTGTCTTTATATGATCTGGTCTATATCTCTATCGGCCTCTTATTTTTCTTTCTCTCTCTCTCTCTCTATCTCGATCTATCTATCTATTCTACTCTAGCTGGCACGTGAAATGCATTCCTAAGGCAAAAATCTGTATCATAAGAACGTAGTCTGGCCTATGTAGCCCATCACTGCGCTGCATGTGCCTGTAGCAGAGTAAAGGGTATGCAGTATACACGGTCTTAGCCAGAGTTCATAGATGGGTTGCATTTTCATGGTATGTGCTTTGTGTACAGCTTGTTAGGAGAGTTGGGGGAGACAGCTAGCTGCTTAATTCGCCATAATATACATACTTGGGGGTCTTTACTAGCGAAACTAATGCTGATAGGGTCTATGTCCTCCAGGGTACTGCCGGAACGTACCCTGGTACTAAATACTACTATCTAATATGCCGGACCGTACCTTGCCTACTCCACTAACGAGTCTAGGGAGTCGCCTAGGCCTACTCCCTAACCCTAACCTTAACCCTAACTATAACCCTAACCCTAACCCTAACCATATCAGCTAGATAGTTATACCAGGGTACGTTCCGGTATACCGGACCATACCCAGGGTACGTTCCGGCAGTACCCTGGGGGACATAGACCCTATGAGCGAAACTAATAGTAAAAATTCAAATTCTGTTATATCATGCATTATAATCCCAATGTACCCCGTATTCATCACATTTAAAGTAATTTTGTTATTATATTTTATCTATTTAAATCTGAATATAATGGTAATTTAGGCTCATAGGGTCTATGTCCCCCAGGTTACTGCCGGAACGTACGTACCCTGGTAACTATTTGATATGTTTAGGGTTAGGGTTAGTGTTAGGTAATGGGCGTAGGCGACTCCCTAGACTCGTTAGTGGAGTAGGCGAGGTACGGTCCGGCATATTAGATAGTACCAGGGTACGTACGTTCCGGTATACCGGACCGTACCCAGGTTACGTTCCGGTAGTACCCTGGGGGACATAGACCCTCTCAGCGTAATTTAGGGAACCACCCCCCCCCAAAGTCCTTTACAGACCCATGTTCATTCTATAGAGGAGCTATACATTTTACCGTATGACTTCCATTCAATGGAAATGCCAAAAGTGTGATTTATAGACAGATGTTCATGGTCTATAGAGGGGTTTATTTTTACACTGCTATATCTGCACATATATTGGATTTCAGAATGACCCCCTATGGAGTGCCAGTTTACTTGCGCGTGACCCAGATGCAATACAAGCTTCTCATCAGAGGTGATTTGATTTATAACTTTACAGCTATACATAGTGCAAGTGGAATTTTATTCAACAAACAGTTTCAGGCAATATGTGCATGTGTTTCTTTGACAAACAGTTAACAGATATTGAGTTTAGTTAGGGTTCATGATTCAGTCCAGATTTCAGTGGCACTTGGAATCATAATTGTTGTATTTCATGGCAATGTGTGTCCACAATACAGATGATGATAGTAAATATAAATATCAGTGCTACTGAGTTTCTAACCAGGGCTCATTGTCAGAAACAAAATTAGTCTTATATATAATTAGTCTTAACATTAATATTTTTTATTAGATCATAGGCAGGAGCATTGTAAAGTTAAAATAATGAAAAGTTTGACCACATTTTCTTGTACCTTTACAAAACAAAATTCTGTCAACAGTCTATATGGAGGGAAATTCATGTTAAGCTTAATGGGTTTTTTTTCTGACGACAAGATTCTGGCATTAGTGTATTAATATTCATCCAACAGCAGTGTAAGTAATGCTCTATCTTCTTATCACTATACTCAATAAAGATATTTCCAGATTTCTTGAAAGTGGCGCCAATGTAATCACAACATGTACATACCAAGCTAGCATTGAGGGATTCTGTCAAAACCTCCTCATCTCACCAGAGGAGTCACTTGAGCTGATAAAGAGAGGTGTCAAGCTGGCACAGAGTGCAAGGACAATGTACATGCAACAAAATCCAGGCATCTGTATTCCCCTGCTTATAGAAAATTATTATGAACTTATGTATATGGTAGATTTTACACGTATTTATTGCAGTATTATCAACCGCATGCCTATGCACTAATGGTATGCTGATTTAAATGTGTGTATACGATAAGTTATTGTGACCGTCACAAATAGTGTATTTGACAGATATGGAGAGTATTTGTGTTTGTCTGTATTAAGTACTTTATCCTTAATCTGCCCATACCTTTTAACTATAGATGTTATGCAGTGCCCTCTAGTGGCAGGATCTGTTGGACCATATGGAGCAAGTCAGCATGATGGGTCAGAGTATTCAGGAAACTATGTAGAAGATATGAGTATTAAGGTTTGATATAGTTATTTCCCATCTAGTTTGAGTAAGGCTTGCCATGGTGTGGTAGAGTAAGAGTTTATTGGATACATTCCATGATATTTTTGTTTCTAAGTATTCAAGTTCTGAGTGATGTAATTACAGAATATTATTTGTGAAAGTACCCAAAAATGTCATTTGTGTAACTGTCTACGGTTCAATTATGTCTGCACTGAATTTCAGGAGCTAAAGGACTGGCATCGACCAAGGGTAAGGGCTCTCCTTGATGCAAGGGTTGACCTCCTTGCATGTGAGAGCATACCTGCACTGAAGGAAGCACAAGCGTTAATTGAACTTCTCTGTGAATTCCCACACGCCAAAGCATGGGTGTCATTTACATGCAAGGTAGTTGTTGAATCATGATAACAGTTTCCCTAACAATGCAATGAACAACAAGAGTTTATGGAATTGTTTACTATTCGTGGAACATTGATATGACAGTATATGATACCTTGAACATCTCTTAACAACATTATATACTATACATAATATCAGGAGTAGATAATAGTCTCTATTATCTACTCCTGATAATATTGTTTGATATTTTCGTGATGGCACTAAGCTACATTATATATCTAGACTTGAGCGCCACCTGTCAGTGGGATCTGTTGTAAATGTGATATATGAATAGATAAAGAGCTGCTACCTATTTAGAGTCTGTCAGACAAGGTACAGAGTTAACACTATTATATTAGTACTCTACTAAAGCTAGCAGCACACTTCACCATTTTCGTTGCTCGTACAGGCAATTTTCGTGGTCGGCAATTTTCGTGGCCGTTGCCCCGTCACAGCACACTTCACCACAAGTTGCCACCACGAGCAATTTTCGTGGTGAGAAATCAAACCGGTTTGATTCTCGGCAACTCGTGGTCACCACTAAATTTCCGTGGTGAGTGGTCGTTGCCGGCCCCCGCACACTTGGCCATTTTTGTGGCGACCACGAAAATTGCCTGTACGAGCAACGAAAATGGTGAAGTGTGCTGCCCGCTTAAGTGTTCCTGTTTACAGTCCTACAAGTTACAGAACCTATAACTATACACCAGTCTTGAATATTATTCATGACCTGGGGTCATCGCACGAAAACGAGGCTAAGCTAGGTAATTTTGTAAACAATGGCTGCTCAGGCAGGCACACACAGAGGGGGTACACGCACGTACACGGAGATACACGCACGTACACGCAGGCACACGCACGTACACGCAGGTACACGCACGTACACGCGGGTACACGGAGATACACGCACGTACACGCAGGTACACGCACGTACACGCAGGTACACGCACGTACACGCGGGTACACGGAGATACACGCAGGTACACGCAGGTACACGCACGTACACGCACGTACACGCACGTACACGCGGGTACACGGAGATACACGCACGTACACGCAGGTACACGCACGTACACGCAGGTACACGCACGTACACGCGGGTACACGGAGATACACGCACGTACACGCGGGTACACGCACGTACACGCGGGTACACGCACGTACACGCGGGTACACGCAGATACACGCACGTACACGCGGGTACACGCACGTACACGCGGGTACACTCACGTACACGCGGGTACACGCAGATACACGCACGTACACGCAGATACGCGCACGTACACGCAG